TTTAAATAAAACTTGCTGTGACCAGAAGTCCCCAAAGTGTTAAGTATGTAAATAGGCCTGATCAGCTAGTGAGTGACAGAGTATTAACTAGAACCTTGGACTAGAACCTAGCTTCCATGTCTTAACCACTCTATTCTGCTGTTCTCTGCGATCTCCAAGAAGGTGATGACAACTTTGATAAGACTCAGCATGCCTGTTATGCAGGCCTTTCTTTTATACATTGGAAAGAAGTAATGTGAAAGGAGATGTGAAAAAAATAGAACCAGAATGACTTCTCAACCTCAAGCACATTATAGCAGGTTGATTTTCCAGAACAATATGTATGGAAATTCTCCTTGTCTGTGTACCTGTTTGAGAAATCACTGTTTACGTGTAGGGCAAGGTTCCTTCAAAGCAATGCCATTAATATTTTAGGCCAAAGAATTATGTGTTGTGGGGGTAGTCCAGTGTGCACTGTAGACCACTGAGCAGGATTCCTGGCCTCCATCTATTAGATGCCAATAACAGTGCTCCTTCAGCTTGTGACATATGTAAATGCCTGAAAATATTGCCAAATATCCCTTGAGGATGGTAGACCAAATCAGCTTCAATTGAGAATGTCTGATTTGGGGATATACAGACCCTTGTTTGAAGACTGATTGCTTATGCAGGTTGTTAAGAGTGTAAGAAGGGTCACTTTTAGTCAAATAGGATATTTTAATTTTATTTTTGAAAAATGAAAAATTTGAGTACTTAAGTTTAATTTCCCTTTCTACATGAGTGCGAAGTTCTTGAGTCCACAGGGAAAGTGAGTTGTTGAATCCTTCTCAAAGGTATTTGGGCCTGTTTAAACATCAATCTTCAGAGAACCAAAATCATATTTGCATAAACTAGAGGTCATGTGCCATTTAACAATGTGCATGCATTTGGCTCGATAGCATATTGTTAGGTGATTTCACCACTGTAAAAATATCACAGGTACACATACACAGACTAAGATGGCCACAGCATCATTAGATCCTATAATCATATGGAACCACCATCGTATATGTGATCTCTTAGTGATGGAAATGTCACTATACAACACAGCACTGTGTTGGAGTATACCACAGAAGAGGAAGAAAGGAGAAAGATGAAGTTACTAACAAAAGAAATCTGCTTGTTACTTTGTGCCAACTACTATGCCAGGTACTTTATGTGGATTATTATGCTGACTAATCACAATATGTCTGGAAGTATGATTATTTATTATTTAAGAGATGCCTAGGTTACTGTAACAAAGAGACTCAAAATATCCAGTAACTTCCACAAAGTAATAATATGTTTATCTCTAGGATAAGAGTTCCAATTCTACTATTAGGAAACCGTTTCAGTCAGTGGGAAGAATGAAAAATGGAATGTGATGATATGGGCTTTTCTTTTTGGGTAACAGTCTAATGCTTATACACATCTCATATTGATCATATTTTGCAGGCTCAACCAACTGAAAAGGCAATGTGGACTTCAGGTAGGCAGCCACATATCTATCTAGATACAAGCAGTCTAACACTCACTTTTGTAAATAAAGTTTTGTTAATTTTTTATATTTATTTAATTATTGTGTGTGCGTGTTCCATGGCTAATATGTGGAGGTCAGAGGTCAGACTAAGGGAATCGGTTCTCTCCTTCTACCATGGATTAAACTTAGATCATCAGACTCTGAAGCAAGTGCCTTTATCTGCTGAGCCATCTTGCCAGCCTATAAATAAAGGTATTTTCTGTGTATGTGCGTGTGCGTGCGCGTGCGAGCATGCGTGCATGCGTGTGTGTGTGTGTGTGTGTGTGTGTGTGTGTGCCATATGTGTGTAGCTGACTGAGGAGCCTGGAATAGGGTGTTGGATGCCCTGGACCCAGAGTTATAGGCCGTGGTGAGCTGCCTGATGTGGGTGCTGAAAACAGATCTTGGGTCCCTTTAGAAGAGCAGCCAGCACTCTTAACCACTGAGCCATTCCTCTAGCCCCTGTAAATATAGTTTTAATGAAACATACCCACTGTCATTCATTTTTAAATTATTTATACTGCTTCCTCAAAAAGTGGCATTTTAAAATAATTGCGATAAAAACTAATTGGCTCACAGATTTTAAAATGTCTTATAGGGTTTAAACAGAGTAAAATATTGTATAACTGTATTAATTCAACTATATACCTAAAAATTACAGCCAATTTTGAAAGAGATGCATCTTAGCTCTGGAAATTGTTATTGAATATGTCAATGCTGTTGTAATGAAATGCTTCTTCTAATTATACGGTTATTAAATAAATAATTAAAAAATATTACTCTGGCATTTTGAAAAAAAAAAATTTACTCCGTACTCAGAAGACAGAATGAATATTTGGAGATACTTAAGAGGTTCTGTGAAGATTTTTAACATATGAGGAAAAGAGGCATATAGATCATGGTCCAGGGCACGTGACTATGTGTCAGAGCTGAGATGTGAAGATAATTCTGTTTGGCTCTAGAAGCAAAGCACTGTGCACTTTATTATACTACCTGATCAAATCATTCAGGAAATCTTCATTGTGTCTCCTCTGTGCCAGGAGATGTTCTAAGAAGTGAGCATTCATGGTGAAAAAGGGGAGGCTTTTCCTGCTGTCATGAAGCCTACATTAAAGAAGTATTAGTATCATGTTTAGTGTATTAATATTATATGCTACATGTAATAGGTGCACTAAATTTGAAAAAAAAATGAAAATGAGTCCAGAAAGAAAGGAAGGTGGCAGCAGAACTGAGGTAGGGATTTATTGCTAAAAGAAATGGTTAATGATAGCCTCAGTTTTTGAGAAACTAAGGGGAATGAGGCTCAGCCAAAGCTCTTGAGGAGGAGGCAGGAGCCTGTGCTAAGAACATCCAATAAAAACCCAGAGTTCCCCCTCAAAAAGGAGGTTGAAGCAAGGGTCAGGAACTGGACAGGAATGGGAGCCAAAAGAACAAAGAGAGCAGTGTGGGTGCCCACAGCTTGTGTGTGGTGGGGAACTGGTACAGAATGGATGTGGAGGAATGAGCCTAGCTAGAAAGTACAAGAGCATGGTGGAGAGTCCGCCTTTAACCCTTTCAGCGAGACTTTTAAAAATCCCTTTGCACAAAGACATAGCACACGCACATAGGAATATACACCCACGGAGATTATAGTATGCATTGTGTCCAGTTGCGTGGTGGAAAGATCATACCTGTTTCAGTCCACAGAACTGTGAATATCCACCCTGCCAAATGTTCATTTGATGACTTAAGGCAAATTTTTATTGACTGTGATTTACTGAATAGTTTTTAAGTGGTAGGCACTTTCTATATGTGATCTCATCAAAGCCTTACCTAGTTGATATGTTTATACTGCTGATATTTGAAATTATCTTGAATTCAAATTAAGTGTTAAAATTAAGTGGTGATAGGTAATAGTTAAAAAGTAGTAAGAGGACCTGCAAGGTGGCTCAGTGTGTAAGGGCACCTACTGCCAACCCTGATGCCCCAATTTTGATCTGCAGGATCCACATGGTGCAAGGAGAGAATTGTTTTCCATAAGTTATCCTCTGGTCTCCATACTTGGGCTGTGGAACACACACACACACACACACACACACACACACACACACACACACACATCAATAGTTAAAAAGAACTAATAAGAAATCTATTTTTACTTCTGTGTCTTTATATTTTTTTTCTTATTTCAGTATATAGTGATTAATAATGTTGATCAATTCTCCCACGGGATGTTTATCAACACTTCTTCTATATAAACATAAACCTTTAATGCTTATTTAGTGTTTATTATGTGTCAGACACTGGTATAATTAATTTATTTGTGTTCCTCAAAACAATCCTGTGTGGAAATACTATCACATTTTTCTTCAAGTGAGACAACTGAAACTCAAGAGAGGTAAAGTAACTTGGCTGAGGTCACACAGCCAAAAAATGGAGAGTGGAATTTAATTCAGGCACCTTGACTTTGAAGTTCATGTACTAAAATATTATGCTAACTCTGCCATGCAAAACAGACAATGATGACAACTAAATAAAAAAAAGTTAACTCCCCTTCTACTACTTCTAATACATATGGAAAGCCTGCTTATTTGAATCTGGTGACTTAGCCTGTAGTCATTATCTCCTAATGTCTGAAAAGTGCCGTGGAGCAAACATTTCACTTCTCAAAGAATGACTTCAGAACCCCCAATTTAAAGTGAGAACAAAGAGTATATGTTTGTATGAGTGACTACCTCAAAATGTGTGGCCTGTGTGCATATACATGTATTTGTGCTTGCTTTGGTATGTGTAGTATGAATCTGACGCTTTCCAATGTTCTCTTCTAAGCTATTTTCACAAGAATAAATTCCAGCATGTTATGCGGGACTATTTTAAAACAAGAAATCCTTCTTCTCTTTCAGGATGTACACCTGGTTTTCTACAACCTACTCTGCCCAGCAACTATACAAGGGACAGAAGCACTGAACAAGCACGAATGGTACTATAATATCAACGAAATGGTTCTCTGCCTCAGTCCTGGCCTTTCAACCCTCAATTCATGTTTTGCTCAAGAAGGTCATACATAGGAAGTGCTATCTGCTCCACCATTTCTTTAAATTGTTAATATCTAGTAAGGATTTTCTTCTGTCCAAAATGACAGATTCTGAATGTGGTCTCTATATATCTCCTTTGAATGTAAATATGGAAATACCAACTTGCTTCCAGTATGACTGCACTCTAGATTTAGGGGTGTCAACCTGCTTTCAATAAAATTATTCCTTTAGAGGTGGGGATAGATTTTCACTAAGCTGTTCTTTGTCCTATTTAGTTTCCTCATTCCCATTTCACACCCTAGTCAGATGACAAGTCAGGTGATTTCTAGAAAGTTTCCTGAAGAAGAATTAAAATGGATACCATAAGGAACCGTAGCCAGAAAAATGCCTTCATTTAGTGTAGAGCTCTAACCACTTTTAGAAATGGACAGCATGTGGAACCTAAAGTGGTACAGTCACCTGACATTGGTATGGAAAATCTAAGCATACCTGAGGAACTTGTGTCTGCAATGGGACCAGAAAACACTACCACGATGGTAACTGAGTTTATTATACTAGGATTTGGGGACCTCAAGGAACTGAGTCCCTTGTTCTTCTTGGGGTTTGGTATTGTCTATCTAGCCACTGTTTCTGGGAATCTTCTTCTCATGCTGCTGGTATGCACTCAACAAGGACTTCAGACTCCAATGTACTTTTTTCTGGCGAACCTCTCATGCTTGGAGGTCTGTTACACAACCAACATTGTGCCCCGAATGCTCATAGATTTGTTAAGAGAGCATAGAGTAATCTCCATGATGGGCTGTATTGTTCAGTTATACTTCTTTGGGGCCCTGGGCAGTACTGAGTGTTATCTACTGGCAATAATGTCATATGACCGGTACCTGGCTGTCTGTTGGCCCTTGCATTATCCAACATTGATGCATGGAACTCTATGTGTCAGGCTAGTAATTGGTTCATGGCTTAGTGGCTTCACAGTGGCAGCTGCATTCCAGGCTGCTATGCTATCCAGTTTGACTTTCTGTGGTGGCAATGAGATAGACCATTTCTTCTGTGACTTGAAACCTCTGCAGAAGCTCTCCTGCTCTGATCCTCATCTGGTTAACCTGGTCTGCATGAGTCTAACAGCTTTGGTAACCCTAGTCCCTTTTGGACTAACTTTAATGTCGTACTGGAAAATTCTTTCTGTGGTTTTGCATATGTCTTCCATGACTGGTAGGCAAAAGGCACTTTCCACTTGTTCTTCTCATCTGGTGGTTGTGACTTTGTTTTATGGGACCCTAATCTTGGTCTATGCTGTACCCCTGGTTGGCCAGATGCCAGCTCTCCACAAGACGTTTTCTTTGCTCTATACTGTTGTCACTCCCATGTGTAATCCTCTTATCTACAGCCTCAAAAACAAAGATGTCAAGGAGGCTCTGAAGAAATTGAGGAATGGACTCTGTGATTTTTAGCTCCATTCAACCACCTAAAATGATAGCTATCTTTCAGTCATCAAGGAAGTCTTAGTGAGATTAGAACAGCACAGAACACATTATCATTTTTAACTCCAAGTGTTCTTTAATCCCCAAATCTCACAATTTTAAGGAAGACTTTGTCTCAGTCTTCTTGTTGTATAGTTGTCCTTGAGAATCTTCACTGCAAGAGGGGACAAACACTTGCTAGTTTATGGGAAGAAAAACATACTGAGGTATATAACATGTAATTGATGCACACAGTGTCTCCAAAAGCTCAGTGTTGGAGGTAAGAATTGTCAGGTATACTTTAGTTGTGTTCCATTCCTATACTGAAATGTAACACCAACACCCATTAATATATGCAATTAATAAATATTAATAAAAATTTAAAAATGATAGTCATTGCCTTGGTTCAGTTCATACTGTACTGATTATTTTTCTTGAAACACATTTTTTATTCATTGAAAATTTTGTATGTACAGCTACTGGATTTTGGACATTTTCACCCAACATTGCCCTCTCTCACCCCCCTTCTTTCTCTTACTGAAGGCCCTCTCCTTCCCAACAAGTCCCCTCTTACTCTGAAGTCTTTTTTGCCTACTGAGTTTGATTACGGTTGCTTGTATGAAAATGAGTTAGGGGACTATTACTGGAACATGGCCAACTAACCAGTGTCTACACCACTTAAGAAAATGATACTCTGTGAGTACATCTTGCGAGGTAGGCCAGTATTGTAGTGTGCAGAATCCAGTGCTGGCTAAGACCATTGATGACATGAAACTTATGGGAATAAGCAAATTCTTTTTTATTGAATATGAGGCTGGCTCTATAAGAAGGATTTCATAACCAGTCGAAAGTTCATGACTGGGATGGTCCCTGAGCCCTGAGTGGGTGAAGTTTAATATAGGAGTCCTGTCTAAAGACCAGCATGCTGTAGATTCTTAATCTCTACATTTTGGCCATTTGTGACCTTTTGTGTTTCTGGCCCTCTGCTGCATGAGGGAGTTCATTAATGAGAATTGAAAGATTCATTAATGCCCTGTTCTATGTTCCTTGTGCCTTAGATGCACAGGTTGCATTGTAGATGTGTTGCTTAGGCCTGGGCAAATTATAGACAATGTCTGTGTGTGACCAGTTGTGGTATTTGGTAAATAGTCTCCAACTGGTGCAAAATAAGCTTCTTTGTTGAGTGGTGACTGGGATACTGTTTGAGATATTCTGTATGAAATACACAAAAATTCAATAAAATCAAATTTTAAAAAGGTTCATGACTCGGGAGATCATAAGCTCTGGGGCGAGGGGCGGGGAGCCTACTCTTGTTATATTAGTCATGCTGTTAAATTGACTTCTAAATATTTCTGCTTATACTCATTAATTTGTGTTGCTCTCAACTTTGGTGAGAGAAGCTTCTCTTAGCAATGCATAGTGGTAAATATAGAGACGAATACTATTCAAAATGATGAGAGTAAGTGATTTTGAGGGACCAGTCATACATGGGACATCTATATCACCTCCCATGAATGCTCAGGGAGAGTCATAGAAGAGTGAGCAAAAAAATGTAAGAACTGGTGGAAAAAGAGGAGACCTGAGAAATGCTGACTTCCGGACACAGCATGGCTATTGCACACATCAATTCATAGCACTTATGGTTACCTGCACCAAACCTTCACATGAACAACCAAGTCAAAATTCCAATATGAATGAGAAAAGGACCCCAGAGGCCACACCTTTGGCAGAATAGGTATTGACGGTGGATGGTGGATGTTGAGTGGAGAGTAATTCTCCTTTGAGGACATTGGTGCTGGTAGGCTGCCCATTCTTCAGTGGGTGGTTCCACACTCATGTACATAAAGGCAGCGCTAACTGAACTCAGGGGGTTATCAATAACAAAAAATGGAAGACATGAAGTTGGGAGAGAGATAGAGTGGGAGCCCTAAGGGGAGCTCGAGGTTGGTAATGATAGATATGATAACAAATATATTCTATAAATGTATGAAAATTTCAAAGGATAATTAAAAATTATAAATGAAGTGGAGAAAAAAGTGATAACTCATCACCCACCACCCATTAACTGTACATAATCTCTCAGTGAAGAGTGGGACCTTATGAACTCTTCTGCAATGCATGATGAAATAGTGGTGGGGTCAGTCATGTGCAGGTAACCAGAAGATATGTTTATCAGTACTCCCTCACAATTATTTCTCTTACATTTTTTTAAATATTATTTTTATTTTATGTGTAGTAGTGTTTTGCCCACATGTATGTAAGTGCTCCACATGCTTATGATGCCCCACAGAGACCAGAAGAGGTTGTCAGATCCCCTGGAATTGGAGTTATGAATGGTTGTTAGCCATCATGTGACTGTTGGGAATTGAACCTGGGTCCTCTTTAAGAAGAGCAAATGTTCTTAACCACTGAACTAGCTCTGCAGCTCCTCTCTTACATTCTTTACACGATCTATTCCATTGTGTTCTCTGAACCTTGGAGGTGATGGTATAGGGCCTAACTTTCAATAGCATAAAGTTACACTCACTGCTCTTATTCTCTGCACTTTGACTATGTGAGTCTCCCTCATTAACTGCCACATACTACAAAACCAAGCTTCTTTGATGGAAGACTGATAGCATCATTAAACTACAAATATAAATATAAACATTCCAAAGGTAATTTAACATTGCGTCCATTTAGCGAAGCAGGAGTAGCAGATTCTCCACCAAGCCCCATGATTTTCACAGCCATGGGCTCCTGCAGGACTACCAGGCAGGAATTCACTCCTGTGGAGCATGCCTCAAAACCAATCATAGAGCATGGTTACCCCTATTTATAGTCATACCATTGCTGCCCTGGTGGACATATTTTTACAGGGAGATTATTATTGTAGTTCATGAAATCCATAGCTGGAGAGGACTGTTGATGACTTTTCTCCCCTAGAAATCTGTATAGCATCTTCCAAGACTATGAAAGGTAGCCAGTGTAAAGGAGGCATCCAGCTCAGATTCAGGTTGATTGTCTCAATGAAATTCAGCTTTACAGTTTATTTAGGAAGAGAGTCTTGCAATTCCCTTCTGGTGACCAACCAAGAGCATTGTCGCTAGCCTGTGATTTTTGCGGGGGCCCTCTGGGACTTCGGTGACCAACAGGATATTCCACAACTGGGATTGGGATTTTTATGATTTTTAGAATGAATATAGAGGTTAAAGATTTAGCTCAATGATAGAGTTCTTGCTTAGTTAGCACAAGGCTCTGGGTTCAATCTCCAGCACTGAAAAAAATAAATAATATAAGGTAGCATTTATTATAGTCAATAATACATAAAGAAAAAGCAGGTATTATTGAATAGGGTTACAAGTACATACATCTAAAGGGGCAAATCAAAAACCTCAGTGAAGAAAGTGGGTGAATAAATAAAACTGACTAGATGATCTTAGGGTTAGAGGATGTGTGAAAACTGGTAAGTCTATAAGAATGGGAGCAATCCCAGAGTCAATAGACCACGTTTATTTGATTCAGTATGCAGGCTTGAGTTCTGGCTGGGAGGCTGACTATGTTAAATGGTTCATAGTAATACTGCAGCTCTACTTGGCCTGAAAGTACAATGATAAAAATGAAGTCTAACAGAATAGATGAAAACCTACTTGTGGACTAGTTTTGAAGAAATGTGCATTAAGCACTTACAACAATTTCTTAGATATGCGATTGCGTCAAGCACATTTTTTCTAGACTGAGTTTTCTCTCCCATGTATAGCTACCTGCTGCATTTCCATTCTCTCTTTCTGTTCTCCTCCCTAATTCTTTCACCGAAGTATATGCAAGTTAGTTTTGCTGGCTTCATTTGTGTTTTGGTTTTTGTATCTGTTACCAGTTACCTAATATTACCAAATAGAATGTTAAAGCTACACTTTGAGAGGGGAAAAATAAGAAAAGGATTCTTCTATGAAAGGTGAGAGAATACATAAATTCATTTATTCAATCAAAATAGTTATTGAAAACCTAATATTTCCAACCTCAAAGAAATTATAGTCTGGTGGCCTTGGTGTTCAAATTTCTTATAATTTATGTTTTTACATTGCAGAATGTGTAGACTTTGAAAGACCTACTTAGGAAAATCTCTGCAGGTGAAACCCTAATGTTTTTATTTACCTTAATTTTAAAAGGTATCCGAGAGCCTCTTCTGTCCTACCGTAGGCATTGTATGACATGGGTGCACTTACCTACATGCAGGCAATACACGCATACATATAAAATAAAAATAATAAATAAAATATTTTTTAAAAGATATTAATTAATGTAAAACAACTTAATAGAAAGGCCTAACGAAGTTATTGGTGAGACAAACACAAATGTTCAGAATGTACTTTTTAGCTCAGTTCACCCCATTTGTTTATTTATGGTGCAATTCAAGTTATATATTCTCCTGGAACCCTCTATGACAGACCTGCTCCTGTTATATCTTCCCTGTGAGAAAGAGTTTGTCCTTCTTCATTTGGCATGTAGCATTTACTGCTCTGCCCTTTTTAAGCATAGATATTGTCTTCCCATGAAATTGTAAACCTTCAAAGGCAGAGCCTGAAAGTCATTTAAAGTTGTACCTAGTATAGTACCTGCATACAGTAGATGTTTGGATCGCATACATAGGATGAAATCTAAGCTCCTCGGCATGGGAATCAAGGATTTTCATGGCCCAACTTCTGCCTTTTTCTCCAATCTCATCTCCTACCAGGCTTCGCCTCACAATAGCCATATCTCAATTTTGAATGGTTACTTGTGCCCTTTGCTTGAAAAACCATGCACCCAGCTAATGTTGCTTCAACTTTTAAACTCTTAGGTAGCTCCATCATTATATTCTTCAGGGATATTTGCGTATCTTCTTTCATAAGCTATATTGAGCCAGATGATGCTCTCCTGTCTCTTTTAGATTCATTGTGTCTATTTTAAGGAATTATCTCATTATCTGATGGTTTATCACTGTCTTATATGCACAGAAACATATAAAAACT